GTTTAACGTCTATCAATCGTGCATGCCGACAAAGAACCGGAACCCCAGAATTTAGGGGTTCCGGTTTCAATTTCCCCAGAGCCAATGCCATCCTAGCCCGCGCACAGGCATTGCTCTGGGTACGAGATTGGCAATATGTCTTAAAGACTGACAAAGCATACAAGATAAATCCTGAAGTAGTCATAGTAGTTGCAGTCTTGCAGGATTAAAAACAAATTACCATACTCCAGCCTATGTGAATATTTTCGTTCAGAATTCTTCCACTGTAATTTAGGTATTGAGTTAGAAGATTAATTAGTAGATATTCCATCATTTCAATAATCAGGTATCTAATGATTTTGATATTGAATTAGTTTGATTTTCAGAATTAGCTATCAAAAAATGTCTCTCCCCCCCCCCCCCCCCAAAAAAAAAAAACTTTTTCTGGTTCCGCTACTTTTTGCACACCTGTTCTTCGGACACCATTTTCTAATATTTTTTAAGGTATCATATTAAAAAAAATCGTTCTGTTTCATTCTTTCAGTGAATGGTTCATCGCCAGCTTCCGACAGTCCTTTACCAAGCTAAAGCACAAGAAGAAGATTTCTTCATCCGTACTCACTCGCCATATCATTTTCAACGTTTTTAACAATATAAGTTAAGACATTATAGTCAGTTTTATATAGCTCAACTCTTACAGCAGATCGCTGCATATAGTTCGTGCACCCGTATATGACCTCACGAGCTTGTGCACTTTACCGTGTGTAATATGGCAAAGTAAGGCATGCAAATTGTTTATGTAATAGCACGCGATGGCAATTTCTAGATTGCACAGTCTTCAGTATAGGTTCTCACTTGTTTCCATCTACCAAACTCACGTTACGTCATTTGATCAATTTCTAAAGCTGTTTCTTTTTGGATTTTTTTTTATTAATTTGGTTAGAGTTTGACTTGGTTAGAGTTTGAGGGTAGGGTTTGACTTAGTTACATAGCCATTTACAGGTAAACTACGTGAAGCGTTCCTCTTTTGAGTTTCTAAATTGATTGCAATTTTCCTCATTCCTTTTGCAATTTAAAGGAACAGGACTGCATTGCAAATTCCCTTAAGGGATTCGCAAAGAGTTTTTCAAATTTGCAAAGCTAATGAGGAAAATTCCAAATGAGTTACAAAGACAAAAGAGGAACGCTTCACGTAGTTTACCTGTAACATCTCTTCCGAAAATGACATCACATCAGTTTGGTGGATGGAAAATAGTGCTGACCTCTTAGTACTGTAATATAGAAGTTCAGATTTGACTTCTGCTACTATTAAGAGACCATCAACCAATCAGATGCGTTTGATATATTCGATTTTTTTATATTTTTTTTGTCAGTCAAATCTAAACCTTTATGTTACATGAATGATCAAAAGCTTTACCGACGAATTGGGAATGAATGTTATATTTTAGGATTACAATATGTAAGCTGATTCATGGGATGTAGCACAATGTCGAGTGCCAGATTATTAATACGCGATCTTTAGCAGTAGTTTTTACCAAACATTTACCGAATTAATATATTGTCTCTTGAAGGCTGGCTTCTATTGACATTGTAATATAGTATTATTTATTGTGCATATGGGGCAGGCTTTTTGTATCCGCTGGAAATTCTGGAATTATAAATATATAGTAAAAACTATATTGTGTAGAATATTTTGCTATTTTATTGATACTGTGTAAATCACGACTCTTCTGGCACAGTCGTGTGACAGTCCATCAAACATGCTTCGAAACTATTTTTTAATTATTACTATTACTATATACGTTTGAAGTGGAAAACAGGGAAGGACAAGAAAGATAAGTGATATAGTGGAGGACGAAAGAGAATGAGAGGTTTAATTAATATACCTCGTATACACACCAACCTTTTTTTGAAGTTTTTTTAAAGTTATAAATATTGCATTTCCTTCGATAATAAATTTCAATATCTAATATCCAAGAAAAAAAACAACCAATAAGAGTTTGGCAGAAAATGAAAATCTCTCGAAATAAATATAAATTGTCAAGGAAATCAAAATAATTTCAGTTTTGCGGACGGAAGTTCAAATACTTTCAATATGGGAAGAAGCGAAAGTGCAATGCTAAATTTCACCCCAGATGATCGACGTTGTAAAGGATTATTTAGCTCCGAAAAGATTCGGTGTAGTCGCCTACATATGTCTGATAGTTCATTTCGTATGTGGTTTAGTATTTACTGCAGTAACATCGTCTTTGAGAGCAGGGGAATTTGGCAAATTTTCTTGTACTGTTGATACAGAAAGTACGATATTATACAAGATTTATGTCGAGAAGACATGTTATTCAAGGTACGAACAAGCTTACAACTCTCCTCTACCTTTGTACGGCTTCGTTTTACTGAGCACTGCCATCGCAGTACTTGTCAGTGTCATTTATTCGCTCGGAGTAAGCAGCCGTGTTGATGAAATCGACAGAAGCTCGAACGGAAGTG